AATTTACCGGTTACAAAACTTTTAATACCAGCACAGAATAGACATGTTAGCCCCTTATTTAGTCCCACAATATAGTGATACGAGGAGAAATGAATTGTTGAAGATAAGAAATGCACATCTACTACGAAAACTTGATTTTTACTCCCATTTTCGCAGTCCGAACCCAGAGCGCTCGATGAAGGTCAGCTAGTGATCAGTATTGCCAAATTTTTATTTAAATAAGCACCAAAACACTGAAAATAGCGGAATTTTCCCCAAAAAAAAACACCAAATTTGTGTTGCTGTGTTTAATGGTATTTTTGCATATAAAGCAGCATGTTCAAATATTTTAAGTAATCACGCAATGTCACTTGTAAATATTTCCAACTATGCGCAATTAATTAATTTAATTAGCAAAATTTTTTTTTACTCGTAAAACAATTTGCAAAACTTTACTTGGTTTCTCTAGCGGCTTCATTTTCATGCAATTGCTTACTTTTGTACAAATGCGCACACCCGGCTAATTAGCAGAATATTCTATAAATTCCGTTATAGAGACTGTGTGAAAATATTGCGTTTAGATTATCTGGGAGCATATTATNAATTTTTGTTTACTCGTAAAACAATTTGCAAAACTTTACTTGGTTTCTCTAGCGGCTTCATTTTCATGCAATTGCTTACTTTTGTACAAATGCGCACACCCGGCTAATTAGCAGAATATTCTATAAATTCCGTTATAGAGACTGTGTGAAAATATTGCGTTTAGATTATCTGGGAGCATATTATCCAGAGGAGAAGCTCGGCCAAACACTAACATATGTGTAAGTCAACGGTTAAAGTTTTCCGTACGTTTGGAATGAATAAATGAATGAACACAATAAATACAATGTCACCATAGAATCACGTTTTTATTATTGCCTTGAAAAGGGCACCAAAAACGAAACAAGCGCTAAACTAAAAAAATTTCGCGTTTTAATTCCCCAAACGCACTTAATTTATTGCGAAAGGCACAAAGTTGGCAACAGTTATAGCGATGTCAAATTTGCTCATATACATTCGTTTTTATTGAGTATTGTCTCGGGGAAAAATTATTGTCCGTTCCTACTTGAGAGAATCCATTTTTATGTGCCGAGTCGTAATTTTCGTCGCTTTGATGTCTTTAAGCTTGGGTTAAGCAGAACGGTTTATGGTGCAAACGCACTAATAAACAGAACCTTATCGGACTACAACTATTTCTCAACTTTGTTAGACATAGATTTTACCAATTCTAGTACAACCGCATTAGAATTGGAAAAATACCTTATGTCCGGTCAATAATATCTGTCCAAATTCTGTATTTCTTGTATATGTAACCTTATAAACGCATTTTTTAATTAGCTACTTATTATTAAGACTGTTCTGTTATACTTAATTATACTCTTAATGTCTGTTGAAACATTATTTTTGTTATTAGACATAAATAAATATTTTTAGTATAATAAAGTGCAAGTTTCAAGTGACTGTAAAATAGCCCTGATTTTTTAATTTTTTTTATTGACGGTGCCCCCTTCATGTTTGCCCATGATTTTGTCCTGATCTAGCCCGCGAAATGGGCTCGCTTGCCCGTATGGGCTTTTGTGCCCATGTCTGCTTTAGCGTAGTTAAAAATATATTCGGGTCGCTATGATCATTTACGTACTTGTAGAATGAAAATTGGATTGTAATTACTTTAAGATGAACCGATTCACAGGTTAGAGGTATGTACATCATGTTTATAAATATAAAAGGTAATGTCATTATTTATAAAGACTAAATTTAACATTCTACTTAGGTCGTTTACAATATCGTTTATTTGAAATAAGTCAAAAGAATATAATATATAACAAAGTAAGTTTTCAGCATCCTTTTTAAATGTAAAAGGAGTTAAAATGCCATCTTCAGGATTTTTTAGTCATTGAATAGAACCCAAATAAAAATCGCCTAGAATGCATGGCGTTTGATAAGGTTGTAGAGTCCAGAGGTTGCGGTGCGGTGTTCGTGGGTGTGAAATGTCGTGTTATAGTTAGCTCCGCGAAGTTTTTAAATTTCAGCGGTTTTTATTAGCTTAACGCGATTTCAAATGCAAATAGCGATTCATATATATAATCGGAAAGTGAATTTTGCTAAATAGCAACGTGATAGTGACACTAGTTTAAGCAAATTAAATTAAATTAAAATATACTTTGACTAGGAAGAAAACGGTGAAAGTGAAGAGAGTAGTCATAGGCGAAAATGCGCGCAGCAGCAGCTTCGTGTTTTATATCTAGTAAACATAACACATACATACAAACACAAATAACGAATTGTGAACCATAATAAACACAAGTGTCGATAACACCGTTCGACAAGGCTTGGGAGGTCGTCAAATAAATAAAAAACACTCAAAAGTGCAGTGAAGTGTCAGTCAAGAAAATGGGTGACTGCCGTAAGTGCAAAGCCCTAGTACGCGGTGAGAGTGGAATCCACTGTGAAGGTATATGCGGCAAAGTGTTTCACTGGGCAAAGAAATGCTCTGATCTCAATGAGTACAGTAAAAAGTACTTGCGGACAATGCCTATGTGCGCTTTATGTGTGATGGTTGTCTCACATATATGCATAATATTGATGCAAGAATGATAGAATACAAGATTGCGCCAATGAGAGAGAATTTTTGAGCGTAATTTTTGCGTGACGTCATCTTGGTGCAATTGCGAGAGAAATGCAAAGCGCATATAAAAATATATAAACAATGTATGTTAATATTACATGGCCCAGTTTTGCAGGAATCAATAAATATACAAAGATTGATTAATTAGGAACACGTAGCAATAATTTTGGACATGTAGCCCTTTAGGTAAGTACGATTTCTAGCATATGAAAAAATGGATGTATTAACAGTGTTTGCAATTTCATGTAGGAAAGGAAGGTGTGCAGCAAAGTAAATTTTTGGACTCGCCATTGTAAAAAGCCATGCAGAGTGCATATTTATATTTGTGGACGGTAGCCAACCACCATAAACTCCACAGCTGTTGACTCCACAGCTTTTATTTGATGACTTTTGTACCATTTCCGAGAGGATGTATGAGTGTGGCTTCTTTGGAAACAAATATTCTATGTAAGTAAAACATAATTTAAGCTGAACTTTTAAATGTATGATAATTTGGGCACTGTTTTGTATTAGGTACGTAACAGTGCGGTAAGATGCCGCTTGAATTAGCGCCTGGCGACCTTATCCACTGGTGCATTTCTTCATACCAGCACCAAAAAGAATCAGGTACTAACAAAAATAAATAGGTAGTGAAGTTCCTGTATCTTTTTACTGTAGAAACTGCTTTTGGATGTATGCCAGCAAACTAAACCAGCAACTGTCTACATTCACCATGGAAATGTACCTACTACAATTCACCAAGGAAAGGCCAACATGGTTCCATGTAGAAGCTCATAGTTCACTCACATAGCACAAAGCCCGATTTGGTGTTTAATGCATCTCCTCGCCGGCAGAACTGATTCCACTTTTTCGCCAGGTTTGCGTCCGTAGGAAACGAAAAAAAAACTTATATCGCTCGCATTCCTTTTGTTTTCACTATTAGACTTTGCCACTGCACACTTCGTTTTGCTTTGTAATGTTTCAAAAATTGTTTAAAACCACGCAGAAATATTAACACACAAATATTAAAATGGTTATTTGGTTTTTTCGTATGCTCACAATCAAAAATTGCACCAAGATGACGTCACGCACACAGCTGATTCTGTCAAAATCACAAAGAGCGGATTAGCGGTACCGCGATTGGCGCAATCTCTATTTCTCTCAATCGTGATATTGATGAGGTATTGCGAAATATGAATATCTCTATAGAGAATAATAGTAAATACATAAAAGAGTGTAAAGACGACTTTCAAGAGTCGCAAAATATGCAGGCTAAAGAGCTAAAGCTCCTTTTAGAAGCAATAGAGAGGAAATTCGGTGAACGTATAGATGCAATGCAGAGAGTTCAAAAAACATGCGAAACGAGCATAGCTGAGGCCAATAAGATGAAAGCTGTAGCTGAGGATGTGAAAAAGCATAGCCAAGATCTATGCGAGGCTATGGAACGAAATGAGAGTGAAAGTAGAAAAAAATGTGAATAAAAAAGTCCGTAAGTGAGTTGAAGGCCTCATATGCTGAGCGTTTAAAAAGCGGAATAGTGAATCACAAAGAGCCGAAAATAAATAAAGAGAAACCGTTGATCATAAAACCGAAAGGGAAGCAAAACGCGATGAAAGCAAAAGAAGACCTGAATAAGAATGTTGATCCGTCGGATCTAAAAATAAACAATGTGCAGGGTAGGAAAAGTGCAAAGTACAATCGTTATTCAAAGCGAAAACGAGTCTGAGCGCGATAAAATAGACTGCAATTGCAAATAAAATGAGTGACCGCTATGAAATTAGAGTGCCGAATAGGGCTAAACCCAAGTTTATGGCGTTTGGAGTAAGCTTTAAATATGAAAGCGAGCAACTTGCAGAAATTACACAAAATGAATGTTTAAAAAGTGCTGACTTTAAAATTATTAAATACATTGAAGTCAAGAAAGATAAGTCTAGATACTATAATGTGCTCATAGAAACGGACGTTGATACGTTCTCGGCAGTGCTCAAAAGCGATAAAATTAATATTGGGTGAGAGAAATGTAGAGTCCAAGTTGGTATGGGTGTGTCAGTCTGCTACAAATGTAAGGGCTTCAATCATATAGCTACGAAGTGCAAGGATGAAGAGGTCTGCCTAAATGCTTGGGTAATCATAAAACAATGGAGTGTACAAAGGAGCAAATAAACAAGTGTAGCAATTGCATTCGTGGAAACCAAAAATTTAATCTAGGGCTGGACGTGAACCACTTGACAACTAACCGACAGTGTCCTGCAAGGCGCATCCATACAAGGTGGTGGCAATTGCTTATAAGTAAAAGTCCCGTGTATTTTGTTATTGCTTTTTGGTCCAGGAGGATGTCAAAACGAAAGGGAATAGGAGATCATTTTCGTCATTTCGTTTTGTTGACATCCTAAAGTTGCGCCACTTCGTCTTCGATGACATTCTCCTGTAATAGTGTAGAGACAAAAATATCCAATCAGCTGATCAATCAACACCACCTTGTATTTCCTGTATACATGAAAAAACTAGAGCATGAGAGAAACAGAGCCAGCTATTAACAATTACAGTCAGTTAATAGGAACCCTGGCATGGAGTTGAAGGTTCACACAGTACATGGTAAATACCATTATTATCGCAGATTTTAATATAAACCTGAATATAATGTCCACAAATAGTAAGAAACTGAACGAGATATTCGCCCACCAGGCAATGAAACAGTTAATTAACTTTAATACTAGGGTTACTGAATATTCCGAAACACTAATCGACTTATTGTACTCGAACGCTAAGGAAGTTTCATGTGAAAAAGCGGAGGAACGTAGAATATCGGATCATGAAACTATAAGGTTCAAATGCGATATAAAAAAACAAGGCCCTATCAATAAACTGTCTGAAATAACTTCGTGGGATGGGAAGAGCCCAGACAACCTCATAAATCTTTTGAGACAATGCACCTTCGCTGACCAGAATAGTCTCAGTCCTGATGGTTTGCTCGAACATATTAATAATTGTTTGATTTCGAGTATGAATCAACTAACTTCTCGTATACAAAAGCGGGTCTAAATCAGAAATAAATGTTATGACAGACAATTGACTGAAACTAATAAAGAAAAATTTAAGTTATACCAAAGGGCAGTGATCACTGGTGATTGGGTAGAATACAATGAAATAAAGAAAGCGTATAAAAAAATTATTAGAATTAACAAAAAAACAACAATAAATACAGGTAGAAGCCAAAATGACGTTGCTCTCATTAGAACCAAACCCTTAAACTTCAACTTGGTGTTCTTTTATTTCCTATATTTCGTTAAGCTTTAAATGTCATGTCGTTTGTTTTCTTTAATGCATGATAAAAACATAGCAAGGTAGAACCGTTCTCTCAATTTGTCGGCCATGATTTTTTTTTGAAGTTTGCCAACATTTTAAAATCATATAAAAGTGAAAATAAAAAATTGAAATTGTTCGAAATTGTTGTTGCTTGAGATTGAAAATGAAAATGTGTGTGTGAGTTTGTGAGTAAATTTAAAAATTAAATTGTTTGGAAACGTCAAGAATTTTAAAAGTGACTCTCAGTGGTTCTACCTTACTATATTTTTATCATGCTTTAATGTTCGTTAAAAACAAATTTTAATTAACATTTGAATTTTTGTAGTGTTGTGCGGTTTATACTTAGTGTATGTGTTAAAAATGCAACACCTGAAGCGTTGTTTTTATGTGGTGTTAAATATAAATCAGATACCACTAATATTTTTAACGTGCCTCAATGTCCTTCGCGTAAGGAGCGTTGCGAAAGCAGCTGTGGGACAGAGCTGCAGCGTCTTGCCTTGCTGTGCGTTAAACATTTTAAAGCAGCAGAATTTATAAATGCACCTGGAGGTACAGGAAAGGCACGTTTGATGCCAAGTGCTGTTACTATGACTCTTATGCCGGAAAGTCCCTCCAACAACACTGCAACTCATAAATCAAAAACAGAAAACAACAAACAAATTAACAAATTTTAACTAAAAAATTTTAACTTAAAAATAAATAAATAAAATTAAACTTCAAATTTACTTAAAAACGTCAACCAGTGAAATGTAATTTTTTATTTTTCCTTACACACGCTCATTTTTATTTTTACTCTCCCTAAAACTTCGACTTTTGAAGGTTTGCGTCAAATTGGCTTCTACCTGTTTTTATTGTACCATGTGTGGAAACATTTGAAGAATTTTGTCAATAATACAGATCACAAGGAAAACATCAAAGAAGTTTTAATCAACGTTAAAATACACTGAGGAGCAAAACCGGAACAGTAATACATAATGAGCATTTTCTTGCAATATATTCGGAATTCACATTTCCAATGTTTATTTCATCAGAAGACCTTAAAAACAATAATTAATACAAGCAGATAAAGAAGAAAATTGCGAAAAAACGTAGCAACTAGATTGTTCCAGGTTTGCACCCGATAGAAAATTGTACCATTTGCTTGACTTTTAATAAATTGGCCATAACCAATTTGAATATTTTAGCTTTTATGGTCATCTTGGGATACTTTCGCACAGGTTTTAGACGAAATCTGTTGAGAACGCGCACCGATTTTCCTCAACGCCATGCCTAAGGTATTGCATGCGATTGGGCGAATTTTCGCAATTGAAGTGGCATTTTCAAACAATTCCATAAGTTTTCTGTTGAATCAATTCTGGGCTTTACGCAGGTCACTCCATGATTATAAAAACTTGGGATTTATACCCCAGTTTCAGAGGATATTTCTGATCATTGTCCTGTTAAAATTGATAAAAACCTGCGAAAAATATCCTCAGAAATTGCCAAATTCTTTGAAAATGTTCATTTGTTGTCTCTTTTCTTTTTACCGTCGATTTTACCACAGTTCTTACTCCCTAAGGCGTAACACGGCCCTACATCATTAAATGTACACATACAAACCTAATAGTTTAAATATTTTGGGACGTTAGGCGTATCCCTGATGCAGGTGCACAGCACTTGAACCAATATTCCGACTTAAAACGTTTAATTTTATCCTCAGAGTTAAATAATTTAGGGCCGTGCCCTAATTAATAGTAAATTTTGGTGGAATAATGTGGTCGTTTATGAAGAACTTGTAAATTCCCGCTTCAAATTAATACCATCCAATGTTTTTTCTTAGTAAAAATGCGTTTCTGACAAAAAAATTTTCTGGATGTCAAATCAGGCTTTCTCCTCTTTATCTTTGTGCTGCAATAACTTGTTCCCATGTCTTACATAATGTCCAGTTACTTGCTTTGTGGTGAAAAAGCAGTAATTTTTGATTTTGAATCAAAGTTTTTTGGTATTCAGAGACCCTCCAATATGCCTAGCCTAGCAAATTGCAATTTTTTGTGGTCTCTTGATCTTGCAGACTGAGGTCCGCCCTTTTATCGCTTGTTTAGATAACCATAAAACGGACATTTGGCCGATATGATTTCTTTCTTTATAGCGTAGCCTTTCTGACCGTTTTGCAAAAACTTTTAATTTTTTTTTGCTTGGGTTGTGCACTTAAAGCACTCACAGCGAAAATCCCACGCGCCTTGATTACGAAATTGCAGGAAATGAGCCAGAATTCCTCTTTGAATTATAAAATTCAGCAAATACTAAGAGGGTGCAAAACTGGAACAATCCAGTTCATTTTTGTTTGGTCATTTTTTTCTGAGTTTCCATATGCGAATCTTAAAATTGTTATGGTCAAATGTTTAGTTAAACATCGGTAAGTTTGAATTACCATAAAGTAAATAAACTGAAGAAGTACATTACCACCTACTTAACTTTCCGTTCTATTGTTCCAGTTTTGCTCTTCAGTGTATATAGAAATAGAACTGAAATCGCTGACAAGGTAAACAATTTCTTTGTTGATAGTTTCATAGATATTAATAGGAATATAGAAAACGTTAATTATGATCCGATTCAACAGGAATCAAGGGACCTTTAAATTTTGTGAGATTAGTACAGATGATATTATCCATATAGTGAAGAAGTTCAAGATAAAAATTGGTGGAAGTAATTTATTATCCGAGGGTGTAATCAAAGACTCCGTTGAATACATGGGTCACTTTTATGCCCTATTAGTAAATAAAAGCCTTCAGTTGGGAATAGTTCCGACAGAATGGAAAACTTCGACCATTGTCCCAATAAAAAAAGGTCAAAAACACCATAAAATCGGAGGAACTCAGGTCAATAAACACCCTTCCCAACTTAGAAAAAATACTGGAAACGGTTATAAAAAATCATATATGTAATACTTCTATATTGGCAGTAAGCTAACTTCTCAAAGTGTAAGTATTCCGAAATCAAAGCGAGACAGTCTAGTACTGTTTTTGTCAATGTATTGTGTACCTGAGAGCTGTTTTTGTGTATGTGTTGTGTACATGTTTATTTATAAACGTATGTGTTCCTTTTCTTTCGTACGTGTTTATTGATATATCTGTACTGTAGTGTTTTCGGACGGTACTAGCTCTTACTGCCAATATAGGAGTATTACATATATGTTAAAAACCAACCAATAAACTATATTGAATCTAATAAAATATTCATTAAGGAGCAGTCAGGTTTTAGGGCTAATCACTCATGCGAAACAGCGCTAAACTTGATATTATCACAAAGGCAGGAGGACCTGAATTCCAAGAAGACTATCTTGGCGGTGTTTGTGGAGCTTAAGAGAGCCTTCGAGACCATCGACAGGGAAATAATGCTAAAAAAACTCGAACATATCGGTATAGAAACTTACATGGTTCCGTAGTTTTCTTTTTGATAGGAAGCAACAAACGGTGATTGGCACAGCTCTATTCACAAAGGTAGCAGTAGATATTGGTCTACCACAAGGGTCGGTGTTAGCTCCAATACTCTTTAATATTTATATCAACGACATAAACTCAGCATTGAAGTATTGTAAGGTTGTTGTTGTTGTTGTTGTTGTAGCGGCTACAACAACCCCGCCCAGATCGGTTGGTATCTCAGTCGTTGTCGTCAAGTTCCACTAACGGCAACCCTAGGAAGCGTGCAGCTTCTGTGGGGTTTGTCCACAGGGACAAGGCCGTTAGGGTTGTCGGGTTTTCCGGGCATGCGAAGAGATGTTTCGAGTCGTGTGGGGTCTCTCCGCATGCCGGACACTCATTCGGCACATCCTGATTCAACCTACTCAAGTAGGAGTTCAACCTGCTGCAGTAGCCGGAGCGAAGTTGAGCGAGTGTTGTGCGTGTCTCCCGAGGCAGATGAAGCTCCGTCTCGTCGATGTCCGGGGGTGGTATGCCTAGAACGGCATTCACAGGTCTAGAGTCTACATAACTCGAGACTGAGTCCCTGTGAATGCCGTTCAGGGCCTGTCTGTAAGCTGTCGGGTCCAGAGGTTGCTTAATGAACCTCTGGACTTCGTCCGTCAGTTCATATAGATGCCTCCTGACGTGCCTAGGCGAGGGCTCCTCTGCAAGCAGCTGTCTGCTTGGGTGGCCACTTCTGTGGCTCCCGATCAGGAACTGCTTGCAGAGCATTATATTATGCTCCTTTACCGGGAGCATTTGCGCCTCGCCGTGCAGGTGGTGTTCAGGCGACATCAAGAGGCATCC